CTGTAACAAAAATAAACTTACTAATAGGAGGAAAAGTAATGCAAATATTCAACAAATAATAACACTGCCAATAATACTTAGCAAAAATAATTCCCAAGTTGCATTCAAAATATTCGATATGGAGAGTAATGCAACTGCACAGTACAACATCACACCGGTGTTACATATTTGAGCGGAAGAACCACTCATATGTGAGACAATCAATTGACTACTAAAAATTTCATTATAATTAAATGGATAATTAATGAATAAAGTTTCTTTTTTTTTTTTTTTTGTAAGTGGTAATTCTTCTGAGTTCTTCTGAAGGAACAGTTTCAGCTAGCCTTTTAATTAATTAAAATTAAAGAAGCAGAAAGCGAATGAGTAGCAACATCAGCTATTTCCTTTTGGATTGTTCTAGTGTTACAGCAACCAGGAAGAACCAGGAATATCAGCTATTTCCTTTTGGATCGTTCTAGTGCTACAATAACCAGGAAGAATCAGGAATATCAGCTATTTCCTTTTGGATTGTTCTAGTGTTACAGTAACCAGGAAGAACCAGGAAGATGATTGGACTTTTTCTTCTTAGAAAAAATGGATGTTTAAAGAAAATTATCATTTAGCAAAAAAAAAAAAAAATAAATTTCAATGGAGATCATTAAACAAATGTTGACAGTAATCATTTTTAAATAATTTTATCAGCTAGTGATTACACACATCTTTTCTGTATTATACAATGTAATATCACAAAGTTTAATACATCCAATTTTATCATATTTGACAAATATTGATATATGTCTTGTTGATAAAATCCTTGTATTACGGTATATTTAAATAGAAAAAAAATTAGCGAAAGCATTATTGGTGACAAATAAAACTTACATTAATATTCGCATAAATTGTCGCAATAGTGAAGAGGAAAACAGGTAAATCATTGGAAAGTATTTTACCAGGTGAAAATAATGCCCATAAAAGTGCAGCTACAGTTAACTCAATAACTGGTACAATTGGTTGAATTGAATAGATTATATTTTGCTGTAATTACCCTTATAAGTTAGTCCGATTAACTTATCAATAATATATAGCATAAAAATTCATAACAATTTGAACCTTTTCTAAGATCGATTTCGAGATGTAAAAACGATAGATGCGATATATGGAGGATAAAATATTGGACATACAAAAGACTGAAAATAAAAATCAAAAAATAGAAATGGAAATTTTTAATCTTGTACAATTTATCTACTTTTATCACTTATCAATTATTCGCTTATTTGCTTAACTTATCAATGGAATGATTTTAGTATTAGAAAAATTCCTAAGCATATAAATTTAATTTTTTTCTTTTTCCTCTCAAGTTTTTTTTCCATCTAAAAACTTTTTTCCTTTTCTTCTCAGATTTTTTTTCTTCTTTTTTCTTTTTTTTTTCTACTTTATTTAACGAAGAAAATTAATATTACCATTGAAAATGAACATGACTAAATCACATACTCTCCATTCATCAATCAAATATGCTGTCACCAAACGTTCACCATCAAAATAAGCCAGTATGTGGAGTATTTGTGCTACCTGTAAAATGTATCCTATGTTTATATTATCCAATCAACTGTTACGGTATAAAATAAAATGTATCGTATGTTTATATTATCCAATCAACTGTTACGGTATAAAATACAGAAAACTGTATCATTTTACCATATTAATAATTTTTAATAATTGAAATGAGATATGATGAGATGAATGAATCATCAAGTATTTATCTCATAGGCGCAAATGGAAGTTTTATTTTTTTTTATTTGCTAATACCGCATATTTTTTATGGTTAATTAAAAAGAATCAATAAATTCACTTACGTAAAATCCATCAAAACACCAGCTAACATGCAAAGTATTTGTGATATATTGTTCCCAGAATCCACATGTAAAAGCAGCTAATATTTCAATTAGTAACATTAGCGAACAGAAGGGTGAAATGCTACAAGCATTAATTAGCTTAATAATGTATCATTTAAAATCAATAAATTGAATTTAAATGTGAAAGAAATTTAAAATTTGAAATTTTAAAATAGAAGAATAATCGTACCGAGATTCACTTTCATCAAAAGGTGCAAATAACGTCATGACGAATGGAAGTATCTTGCATGCATCAAGTGCATGATCAACTGCAAGCAACAATTGTTATCGTAAATTTTATTGAAAGAATTAATCTCATTAACATTTGCTCTTCAACTTTGTAATAAATAATACATGTTTAAGGTATTTCAGAATTTGTCTAATGAATGATTAACCAAGAATCGACCAAAGATCATTAATTCCAACCTTTATTTACATTCTTTTCCTTTCTAAAATTGGAAATTTTTTCACATTTTAAGAAAACTTAAAAAATTAAAACTTACAAAATTCACCAACTGGACTAACTGATAATGTTCGCCGTGCTTGTAATCCATCAATTCCATCATATGCATGACTCCAAAATGAGAATATTGCACAAATCATCCAAACCCATCTTGGTATGGTACATAAAATTGAAATTTTTATTACAGTATCAAATCTGTTATTCTAATAAAAATTACCATAATGTAATTAATGGATGACTCTTTAGAAAATCATCAATTCACAAACCTAAACTGGGAATTGGACCATTAAATATGTTGTAATCGTAGTACAAAATGATTAAAAACGGTATAACCATAAGAATGAAGCTAAATACTGTTAATGCATTTGGTGCTATCCATTTTGGATGATACTGCAATAATAGATACTGTAACTGATCGCATCAATCATATATTTTATGAATTTTCATTCAGGCATTTTGACGGATAAGATTAAAGTATTCTATGTTAATAACAAATTTTATGAATGTTCAAAGATAGTTATCATTTTAATTATGATTATCTATTTGTTTTTGCACTTCGAGAATAAAAATTTGCTATCATCGATTAAAATTTCCTACATCTTAGAAATGAATGTTTGCATCTTTGAAGCAGGAGGAATCTGATAATCGAGATTTTAGTAGAGAAAACAATAACATTAATAGTATATTATTGATTGAAAAAAAAAAATTTGTTAATAATACCTTGATAAGCCAATTCCAAAATGGTAAATTTATGTAAGTGGCGATTGGACCATTAGAAATTACTTTGTACTGAAAAAAAAAAAGGAAGTAAAATGATAAAAGATAAGGTATAAAATAAAGTTTTGTTATAGTGCAAAAATTTTGCTTTGTAAATATTGCTAATATAAATGTGACAAATGCTTTTCAATTATTTCATGCTAGCTGTCCATTGCTATAAGTTAGAAATGAAACTTTCTTTATGATGGACAATTCGTTCTAGCTGCTCATTACTCAGATATTTCTGATTGAAAAGATTAAATCCCATAATTTGATCGATAATCAATTAAAATTGCTATCACTTTCTTTCGCACACACTGTCAACCGATTCCTCCGCTCTTCCGCAATTGTCGTTGCAATTATTGCTGTAATATTGCTAATTACTATTAAATGTTTCTTTTGATGAATTAATTACAATAACTTAGCAAATAAGAAATTCTTTGCTAATTAACTTTTGATTTTGAGATTTTTACAAGGAATATGAATAATGGTATATCTCATTTGCGATCAGAGATTTAAGCATTTTATCTATGGAATGTGTATGCGAAAGTGATATCATCAAATTTAATCCATGATATTTTTATATCTAGGGTAGAGGAAAGTAAATAACCAAGCGATAAAAAAAAGTTCGGGAAACAAAGATGATAAGTAGAGATGATAAGCGATAAAGATGATAAATGGTACTTTTATATCTACGGTAGTCTACGGTAGAGGAAGATATTTGAGATAAGCGAATTGATCGATACAAATAATCAAGCGATAAAAAAAAAATTCGGGAAATAAAGATGCTAAATAGATATGATAAGTGATAAAGATGATAAGTGATATTTTCATATCTATGGTAGAGGAAGATATTTGAGATAGGCGAATTTATCGATATAAATAATCAAGTGATAAAAAAAAGTTTGGGAAAGAAAGATGATAAGTAAATATGTAAATAAATAGTTCAAAAGAAAATCTTTAAAAAATTATCAATAAAATTTAGTTAACGATAACCTAAATAACAATATTATCTGATACTGATATTTCACTATCCATCAAAATAGCAAAATGAAGAAAGCTATCTGCAAACATATTAGTTAAGAGCATAGTGATAATGAATGATGATAATATGAGAGGATAATAATATCACCATTATCATTTGTGTTGATCCTAAAAGATTAGTTATATTTGAATTGGATATAGAAGATATGAATGATTAATTGAAATAAATTCTATTCCATGAAAATAATTGCCTATCCCAAAATGAGTTACCGTTTTTTTTCATCAATGATATTTATATTGGTTGATATTTTCTCTATCCATCGGTGACACATACACACACTCCTATTCCTACTTAGTGGAAATTTCTCAGACGAATATTCTTAATCTATTCTCTCTCTCTGTCCCTCTCTCTCTCTCTCTCTCTCTCTCTCTCT